TTAAAAAAAAAAAAGTGTTGGTGAGGCTGCACAGAAACTGGAACCCTCACACATAGCTGGTGGGAATGTAAAATGGTCTAGCTGCTGTGGAAACAGTGTGGGGTTTCTTCACTATGTTAAACACAGCATTACAATATGGCCCAGCAATTACTCCATGGTATACACCGAAGAAATTAAAGACCAGTGTTCAAACAGTGTCCAAAAGTTTATAGCAGCACTATTCACGACAGCCAAAAGATGGAACCAAATGTCCATCAACTGATGAATGCAGAAACAAAATAGGTCAATCTAATGTGATTCTCTCATAAAAAAGAATGAAGTATCAATAAATGCTATACCATGAACCTTAAAAACATTACGCTAAAGGAAAGAAGCCAGTCATAAAAGAGTTATGATTCCATTTATATAAAATGTCCTCCAAAATAGACAGATCTACAAACAGGAAGCAGGTTAACGGTTGTGTAAGGCGGGGGCAAAGGGGTACCGAGGGTGATCAAGGAGACAGGGTTCCTTTCTGAGGTGATGAAAATGTTCTAAAATTGACTGTGGTGATGCTTGCCCACAGGTGTGAATACACTAAAAAGTACTAGACTATATACTTTGGTGGGTGCATTGTATGGTATGTCAATTATATCCCATGAAGCTGTTACAAAAGTTTTGAGTAATCTAAAAAAAGACAGAGAAAAAGAGGAAAATGGAAGAAAGAACTAATATCAAGAAGACTGCCGTAACCCTAACCATGAAAATAATCACATTAAATGTAACTAGTGTAAACATCCCAGTGAGAAGGCAGAGATGATAAGATCGGATAAGACTACCATCCATATGTTGTCTGTAAGAATCTACAAGGGAGGGGGACTCTTTAAATATAAAGACACAAATGGGTTAAAAGTTAAAAGGAGGGAAAGATATACTATATTAACACTAGTCAAAATAAAGCCCAAGCAGTTACATTAATATCAAACAGATTTCAGAACAAAATTTACCAGAGATTAAGAGGGTTATTTCATAGCGATGAAGGCATCAATTCTTCATAACAATCCTAGATGTTAAGAGTTTCAAAATACAAGAAGCAAAACCTGATAGAACTGTAAGGAGGAACAGACAGAGAGTGGGGGATTTTGTTGCCCCTCTCAATAACTGACAGAACAAGTGTACCGCAAAGCAGCAAGGGGAAATATTTAAACAAGGTCCCTAACTCGGCTGATTCACATTTACAGAAAATCTACCCAACACCAGAGGATACACAACCTTGTCAAGTGCACACAGAACTTGCGCCAAGATAGGCCATATCCTGGGCCACACAGTGACTCTTACTAAAGTTAAAAGAGTCAAGCCAAGGGGGCCAGTCAAGCAGCTCAGTTGCTTAAGAGCGCAAGCTCTGAGCAACAGGGTCACCGGTTCGATTCCCACATGGGCCAGTGAGCTGCGCCCAAGCTGAGCTGTGCTGTGCTGCCAACAGGTGGCAGGATGGCTCAGCTAGTGAGAGCACATGCTCCTAACAACAAGGTTGCCGCATGGCAAATACCGCATGGGTTGGTGGGCTATGCCCACCCGCAACTAAGATTGAACATGGCACCTCGAACTGAGCGGGCGCAAGCTGCCAATGGGTGGCCGGATGGCAACTGGAGTTGGAGCTGAGCTAGCTGCGCCCTCCACAGCTAAGACTGAAGGACAACAACTTGGCTGCTCCCCTTCCCCAATTCCCCAATGAAATCTTTTAAAAAAATAAAGTCAAGCCAAACAAAGTTTGTTCTCTTACTGCAGAGGAACTGAGTTAAAAATCAGGAAGAGAGAGATAGGCGGAAAAGTCCTCAAATATTTGGAAAATTAGTAACACACTTCTAAATAACCCATAAATCATGAAATTAAAAAGGAAATTAGAAGGTATTTTGAAACTGAATGAAAATGAAAACATATCAGAATTCAAGGGTGCTGCTATAGCAACAGTTAGAAGAGACTTTATATCGCTAAATGCCTATATCAGAAAAGAAAAGTCTCAAATCAACGACCTCAGTTTCCACCTTAAGAATTAGAAAAAAGAAAATAAACTATCAAAGTGGAAACAGAAAACAGACTAGAAAAAGAAAGGCAACATAGCAAATTAGTGAAACAAAAACCCAGTTCTTTAAGATTTAAAAAATTGAACAAAAATAAACCTAACGTCCCAAGAAAACAATTTTAAGAAGGAGAGGTGACCAATAATAATTGATGACACCAGAAATGAAACACCCAACGGCTTTTCGTTAGGCTGAGTAGGTAAGGAATGAGCAGTGGCAGCAGACAAAAGTCCTCACCCAAGAGGACGAAATTCAGGCCTATACGTGGTAAGTGTAAGTGCGATTCAGGGCACATTTCATCAGGATTTGAACAGGAAACTAAGCACACGAGTTGTTAAGAAACCATTCTCTACAGCTGAATAATTAGCTAAGTGTGGTTACTGACCTCCTCGGGGAGAAGGCCAACTGTGCCCCCCAACGACCACGGGGATACCAGAACCTTCTAGCTTCACTTTCCATTTTTCAATGATAGTCATGGACTTGTCCTGAAAGCAAGAGAATGTGGGCAGGTCAGGAGACTCCTGCCAGAGCGGCCGGCCTTGAGGTCCCCTAGGCTCAGTCACCAGCAGGAAGTTCCTACGTACCCTACTGGCATCATTAAAGACCGACAGCTCCATGGAGCCTTGGAAGTCCTGCTGCAAAACGGACCTCAGGCACTCGTCCAGCCAGGGCTCAGCATCGTGCACAGGAAGGATGACAGACTGGAACGCAAAAAGACAGGGGTGAGCAAACTGCCCTCCGCTCCCCCGCTGCTGCCCACACACACTTGTCCCCACGCAAGGCCTGGTTTACAGAGCAGTGAATCCAGCCTCCAGGGGAGAACGCACGCGTGTCTGCGCTTCCCTCCGTGCCGCCTGTAACATTTACTGTGTGTCAGGTTTCCCTGCGTTGGTCTTTAGGATGCTTTTTGAAAAGGAAACAAAAATCTGAGAATCACCCCAAATTGTCCCAATCCCAGGCAAACTCGTGTTTTCCAATCACTGGTCAGAAGCTCCCTCATTTTAGTTGAAACAAGCATCTGTGTGTTTTCCAGCCCACTCTTGAGAACCACTGATCGGCCCTTTTCTGGGTGGGATAAGCATTTTCAGTAAACCCTGAGGTTGGAGAACTGCAACCAAGAAACCCTTCTAAGTGCCCCACGCCAGCTTTATGCTTTAAGTGCGGGGGTGCGAAGTGTGGGGGCGGCCTCGGCTCCCCCCCTCCCCCGCTCCCCTTGGTTCAGCGCAGCTTGGCCTGGTCCATTCTCAGAGGTCTCTGAAGTGGATGCAGTAAACCCAGCGAAGCCTGACGGCCAGCAAGGCGACTGGCCCCGGGAGCTGCCCTGACTCAAGCCACGCGGCTCCCCCTGGAGCTCTGCGTGTCCCGCCCCTGAGCTCACACACGCGTGAAGAGCGGACAGATCCCTCACGGAACACGCCACCCGGGCGAGCGGGTCACGTGCACTCACACGTACCTGTGTGTCTGTGTGTCGTGTATCCATAGAGACTACAGGTAGGGTTTAAAACCACGAAATCCAAATATGGTGAAGAAAAGCTCCTAAAGTACTGAAAATGTAATTCAGGCGCTTTCTTTACTCTGAGGAGCTGATTCAACGGTGACAGCCCCTCCTGAATTTCTATGGACCACAAAAGGAGTTCCCCGTTTTACTCGTATATTTACTGTACCTTAGGATTGTTTTTTTAAAGGAAAGAACATTTTTACTATTCTCAAGATCCACAATACAACACAAATGTGAATTTCTGTCAAAGATGGGACTTGACTAGTCTCTGTCCGCACTCTTTTCAGAGGCTGGTTGCTTTGGGCGGAGACCCCCCCC